ATCTGTAGATATATGCATATTAAATATATATGTACGCTTGCTTACGACTATATATATAAATATATATAAACGAACATATATATATATTATATATATATTATATACGCAAATAGATATTTATTTAAAGATATATTAATACAAATAAATGCATGCATCTTCTGCATAGATTAATCAAACATATAAATTAGATTATACACACAGACACAAAAATCAAAAACAAATAAATAAATAAATAAACAAATAAATAAATAAACAAACAAATAAATAAATAAAATAAATGAATAAACTAATAAATAGATAAACAAATAAACAAATAAACTAATAGATAGACAAATAAACAAATAAATAAACAAGCGAATAAACAAATAAACAAGTAAACAAATAAGCAAATAAACAAACAAACAAACAAACAAACAAATAAACAAATAAACAAATAAATAAATAAACAAATAAATAAAAAATAATAAATAATAAATACTTGTTGCAGTGCAGCAGACGCGAGGATGTCAGACGGCGCCCAAGAGAACTCCAAGCGAGAGAACTGAAGCAGAAAAGATAATTAAATAAATTTAATTTAATTAAACAAAACAATTAAATAAATTATATTTAATTAAACAAAATAATTAAATAAATTATATTTAATTAAACAAAGTAATATAGTTTAAATAAACAAAAAGATAAATGCATTCTAATTCAACAAAGAGATAAAATAAATGCAGTTATTCTTAATTAATTAATTAATTAATTAATTAATTAATTAATTAATTAATTTATTTATTTATTTATTTATGCATGGATAAACAGAGAAGGAGACACAATAAATATGTTTAAATTAAAAAAGAAACAGAGTAAATGGGCGGTGGGCTGTCTCTCTCTCTCTGTCTCTCTCTTTTTATTTTTGTTTATTTTATTGTTTTGTTTGTCTGTCTCTCTGTTTTTATTTTCTTTCCTACGACCTTCACTAACACCAAGAGACAGAGCGCAATCCAAATTCAGGGTTTAGGGTTTAGGGTTTAGGGTTTTAGGGCTTTTAAGTTTAGGGTTTTAGGGTTTAGGGTTGAAGAGTTTAGGGTTTACAGCATTAGGGTTTAGTGTTTTAGGGTTTAGGGGTTTTAGGGTTTACAGCATTAGGGTTTAGGGTTAAGATTTTAGGGTTTAGGGTTTAGGGTTTATCTGACGGTTTGCACTTGATCGAGGAGCAGCTGTACAGGGAGGGCTTCTACAAGAAACATAACTCTCTTCTCAATTAGCTGCAGCAGCATTGCTGCTGCTGCATTTATATCATTAGCAGCAAACCCTTTAAGACTCTCATCGCTGTATAGCGAGCTTCCTGCTGCTGCTGCTGCTGCTGCTGCTGCTGCTGCTGGTGCTGCACCTGCATCAGCATCAGCAGCAGGTGCTGCTGTAACGCCTAGCTGCAGCGCATGCAAAGCCCCTTGCATGCGCATGCAATCTGTGAGAGCAGCATTGGGTATTTGTGCTGCTGCTGCTAGCAGCAGTTTGCTGCAGCAGCGTTTGCTGCTGATGCGTCTCCTAGCAAAGAAGCAAAACAAATCTGCGACTTCATTAAAAAGAAGAGAAGGAGACAGTGCAGCAAGAGCAGCAAATATTGAAGCATAAAGACTCTTGCTGCGGCAGCCCCACGACTCACATATGTGCAGCAGCTGCAGCAGATGTCTGCTGCTGCATGCATGCAGCTGCTGCAGCAGCGCGTCTTCATAAGACAGCAGCAACTCCTTGTCTTTAAACCCGACAGATAAAAAAGAGTTTAAAAAATTAATAAACTCAAAATAACGAAAGCCATTCACCTCCACGCACTCTCTTCCCTTGCTGCTGCTGCTGCTGCTGCTGCTGCTGCTGCTGCTGCTGCTACTATCGCTGCTGCTGCTGCTGCTACTGCTGCTACTATCGTTGCTGCTGCTGCTGCTGCTGCTGCGTTTATAGGATCTGTTGAGTTTAATTGCATGGTTTGAGAGGAGAGCCCATAGAGAAGGGTCTCTGAGACCTTGTGCTGCTGCTGCTGCTGCTAGCTGCTGCAGGCGTCTGCCTGACGTTAGTTTGCCCTGCAGCTCCAGCAAAAAATAAGAAACGTCTCCTGCTGCTGCATCTGCTGCTGCATCTGCTGCTGCATCTGCTGGTGCTGCTGGTGCTGCTGGTGCTGCTGGTGCTGCTGCTCCTCCTGCCTCCCCATCTGTTGCTGCTGCTGCTGCTGCTGCTGCTGTTTGCTGCGCATGCAGAGCATGCAAATCTGCTGAGTTTGCTGTCTCCTTTCTTTCTGTCTCCTTCCCAACGCTAGCAGCAGCAGCAGCGGCAGCAGCAGGACCAGCAGCACTGCGGAAACTTGCTGCTGCTGCTGCTGCTGCTGCTGCTGCAGTGTGCATGCAAGCCGCGCCACCGCCGCTGCCACTGTTGCTGCTGCTGCTGCTGCTGCAGCAAATAATTGTGTGTTTGTTGAGGAGTGTTGTTTGTGAATGACTGCGAGAAGAGAGAAGCCGACTTTGAGTTTTAAAATGTTTAAAAGAATGAAGAGAGCAAGTAGAAAGAAGAGGTGAAGATAAACAAAGACAGATATTTGCTGCGGGCCTCTGAGGTGTACAGACACCTGAAGAACCACAAAGGGTTTTTATATATCCTAATGAGTAGCCCTTCATCATGCTGCCTCGCTGCTGCTGCTGCTCCTGCTGCTGCTGCTGTTGCTGTTGGTGCTGCTGCTGTTGGTGCTGCTGCTGCTGCATGCACGCATGACGTCTGTTAAGGGAAGAAGGAGTAGGAAGGAGAATCAGCAGCTGCAGCAGCAGCAGCAGCTGCTGCTGCTGCTGCTGTTGCTGCAGCGCATGTGTGTGTGTGTGTGTGTGTGTTTGGGATCAGATCCAGGTGTAGAGACACCTCGTCAGCTGCCGATGTATTTTGTTGCAGCACAGCAGTCAAAGTTGCTGCTGCTGCTGCTGCTGCTGTTGCTGCTGCTGCTGTTGCATGCGCAAGAGCAGCAGCAGCAACAGACAGCAGCCTGAAGGGAAAGGAGTTATAAATGAAAAGAAGGTTAACTTAATTATTTTGTTTAAATTTGTTTTATTATTTTGTTTTATTTAAAAAGAAGAATAGACAATAAACAGCAGAAACAAAAGAAGAAGTGCTGCTGCTGCGGTGTCTGTACACCACAGGGCCCCAAATATGTCGATGCTGCATGCGCAAGCCTTTGTTCTTCTTTTCTTCTCTCCCTCTCTTTGTTTTAATTAATTAATTAATTTATTCAATAAAAAAGTAATAATAAACACCCAAAGGAAGACATAACCAATTGGACAGAGCAGCAACAACAGCAGCAACAGCAGCAGCAGCAGCAACAGCAACAGGAACAGCAGCAGCAGCAGCAAACTTGGGTGTTATATTATTGTTTGTTTTATTATTTGAGTATTTTTTCTTTTAATTGTTTTTTGAAGATGGCTTTTGAGGTAGCAGAAGAGGAGACAACAGCTGCAGCAGCAACCCCAGCAGCAGCAACAACAGCAGCAGCAACAGCAGCAGCAGCAGCAGCAGCAGCAGAAGGCGAAAGTAGCAGTTTTTTCTCTCTTCCTTCTTTAAAAGAAATAGAGAGAGACCTTAAAGACCCTTCTGCCTCCATTTGCTTAAAAATGCAGCACTTATTCTCATTAAGAGAGCATGCAAATGAAGAAGCAGCACAACTATTAATTGCTGCTCTTACAGATAGACAAACTATTGACTCCGTCTTGTTTCGGTAAATTGTTTGTTTGTTTGTTTGTTTAATTAATTAATTGTTTGTTTATTTATTTGTTTATTTATCTGTTTGTTTATTTATTTATTTGTTTATCTGTTTATTTATTTGTTTACCTGTTTATTTATTTGTTTATTTGCGTAATTATTGATTTGTCTAATTAATTGTTTATTTATTTGTTTATTTGTTTTATTTATTTATTTATTTATTTATTTGTTTTATTTATTTGTTTGTTTGTTTATTTATTTGTTTGTTTGTTCGTTTGTTTATTAATTTATTAGTTTATTTTAATTTATTTATTTATTGATATTTTTCTGCTTATTATTATTATTTTATTGTTTATTTGTCTATGAAGATTAAAATAATAATAAATTGTTGTTTATAAAAAGTAACAGTAATACATTATTTATAAATGCTTATAAATAATAATAATAGTATTTATTAATGTTTATAGGTAATAATAATAATAATAATAGTAATAATAATTAGCACTATTATTATAATATATTATAAATAATAATAATTTATTTATTTATTTGTTTGTTTTCTGCTGGGGTGTACAGACATGAAGCTGCTTACGTCTTAGGTCAATTGAAGAGCGTTGCTGCAGTTAGCTTCTTAGAAACAACTTTGAGAGATAAAACAGAAGATGAGATGGTTAGACACGAGGTAAGCTAGCTGCTGCTGCTGCTGCTGCTGCTGCTGTTGGTGGTGGTGGTGTTGGTGGTGGTGGTGTTGATGCTGCTGCTGTTGCTGCAGCAGAAGCAAAAACAACAGCAGCAGAGCAGCAACAGCAACAGCCGCAGTAATTAAGAGAACTGCCTCAGCAGCAGCGACAGCATAAACATCAACAGCAGCAGCAACAGAAACAACAACTGCACCAGCAATAACAATAGTAGTAGTACCATCAACAGCAATAGCAGCAGCAGCAGCAGCAGCAGCATTATCACAATGTATATCTCCTTCTCCTTGCGCAGCAATGATGAATGCATGCCTATGAATACCAAATAAATAAATAAAATAAAATAATAAAATAAAATAAAATAAAATAAAAAGGTTTCTGCTGTATGTGCACCGCAGGCAGCGGAGGCCCTCGCGGCTATCGGCTCTCAGCAATCTCTTGATACAGTAAAACAATGCTGCTGCTGCTGCTGTTATTGCTGCTGCTGCTGCTGCTGACGTTGTTGTTGTTGCTGCTGCTGCTGCTGCTGTTGCTGCTGCTGCTGTTGCAGTCTGTCTTTAGTGCTGCATTAAGTAGCTGCAGATGTTTATGAAGCATTTGGGGTGTATGGGCAGCTCAATATATTAATTAATATCTTCTACGACCTCTGTTTGTATGCATCTGTTTACATATATATATATATATATTATAAACATATATATATATATATATTATAAACATATATATATATATATGTAAACATATATATATATATATACAAACGTATATATATATATATATACATATGCTTGTCTCTATGCACGCCTATATATATGTCTATTTATAAATAAATAAATAAACATATATAAACATATATATATATATATATATTTATATAATATACTTAAATAGATTTGTTTAAAGAGAGTATATTGCGTCTGTGTATTTGCGTTTAGCTGTCTGCCTATTTGAGCGATGAAAGCTCAGCAGTGAAGGAGACGTGTCTGCTTGCTGTTCATAAGCTGCATGCTGATCAAAAAGCAGCAGCAGCAGCAGCAGCAGCAGCAGCAGAGGGAGCAGCAGCAGAGGGAGCAGCAGCAGGAGCAGCAGAAGAAGCAGCAGCAGCAGCAGCAGCAGCAGCAGGAGGTCGTTCTCGTTTTAATACAATTGACCCTTCGCTTCCTTTTGCTGAGTCCACTGCAGCAGATATTCCGAAGTTAGCAGCACTGCTAAATGATAAGACACAAAACCTCGCATTGCGGTATGCTGCTGCTGCTGCTGCTGCTGTTGCTGCTGCTGCTGATGATGCTGCTGATGCTGCAGTTGTTGAAGCTGCTGCTGCTGCTGCTGCAGTTGCTGCTGCTGATGCTGCTGATGCTGCTGATGCTGCAGTTGTTGAAGCTGCTGCTGCTGCTACTACTGTTGCTGCTGCTGATGCTGCAGCTGGTGAAGCTGCTGCTGCTGCTGCTGCTGTTGTTGAAGCTGCTGCTGTTGTTGCTGCTGCTGCTTCTCGTGTTCCTGCTGCTGATGTTGCTGTTGCTGTTGTTGCTGTTGCTATTGCTGTGTTTAAAAGTCTTTGTCTCCCTTATTGTTATTTTATTTTTGTTTATTTTATTTGTTTGCTGTCTCTGTTGCAGCTACCGAGCCCTCTTTACTCTGAGGGATATGCAGGAGCCTGCTGCTGTTGCTGCTGTTGCTGCTGCACTGCAGCAAGACAACAGCTCGGCTTTGCTGCGGCATGAAATTGCATTTGTCTTAGGACAGATTCAATTCCCAACAGCAGCAGCAGCAGCAGCAGCAACTGAAGGAGAGGAATCAACGAGTGCAGCAGCAACAGCAGCACCAGCAACAACAACAGCAGCAGCAGCAGCATGTGCTTCTGCTGCTGCTTTGCTGCAGTGTCTAGACAACAAAGAAGAACATCCTATGGCTCGTCATGAGGCAGCCTTAGCGTTGGGGAGTTTAGCAGCGCACGCAGCAGCAGAAGAGACTCAATTTAACCCTGCTGCTGCTGCTGCTGCTGCTGCTGCTGCAGGCGAGCGCTGCAGCATCCGCCATGCGGCGGTGGAGATGCTGTAAGGAAGCAAATGCTTTTTATTTGTCTCCTTTTGCTGCTGTTTCGTTTATTGTCGTGCCTCTGTCTCTCTTCTGCTGTTGCTGCTGCTGCTGCTGTTGCTGCTGCTGCTGCTGCTGCTGCTGTTGCTGCTGCTGC